TGGTTATCAGGAACTGCTATTAACTTGCTCTAAATGTTGTTGTGCATAACCAACATGACCACAAATGTCAGTGGTGGTACTCTTGGCTCCTCGAATTTTCGAATATGTGGTCTATGTCCACTTGCATCCACATCAATTTACTAAACTTGAGTCTCGTGCAATGCAGTGTGTTTTTGTGGGATATGGGATCAATCAAAAGGGCTACAAGTGTTATGATCTATCTTCTCAAAGATTTTATGTTTCCATGAATGTTATTTTTCATGAGAAAGAGCTTGTCTACAAGACACCAATGACTAGCTTACCACTTCCGTGGGGGGTGGGGGGTGGATTAATCATGAAAAACTACATGCGTTTTTTCCCAAATATTTAGACGAAGGAAATCAGACGTCCGAAGATGCTATGGAAAATAATTCTTTGTCTTGGATCTTTCTTGGATAACCAAAAGAACCGAAAGAAGAAAATCGAGTGACCGAGGAATTTACGGATGAAGACTTCGTCTCAGATTTGTTCCAAACAACTAGAAGGTGATACCACCGATCGACTAACGAAGGGGAAAGGTTCCCAATTGCTAAACAAACAGCTCTAAACTCCGAAGATGATTCTTTCCATGATAGTACAATGTCTTCTAACAAAGCAACAAAACCACTGGGTCAATCTTCTTCTTAGACTCATTCAAAGGTACCCATTAATCCTAATTCTACGATTGTTGATGATGTTAATTTTGAATCCCAATTGTCTCAATATCGTCTTCCAGCACATAGTAACCATGGTATACCACCCATTAAATATGAGCCTAATCCTAAATCCAAAGTTAGATATCCCATTAGTGATGACATGTCTTTAGAAAAATTGTCCAAGTCATATGCATCTTATGTGCTACAGTTATCGTCTATCTCTATTCCTAGTAAAGTGCAAGAAGCTTTAACAGATGCTAGATGGACCCAAGTCATGGCTAAAGAAATGGCAACACTTGAAAAGAATGCTACTTAAGAACTTGTGCCTTTACCGAAGGGAAAGAAGACCATGGGGTGTAGATGGGTAGTTGCAGTCAAGCATAAGGTGGATGAGACCATTGAAAGGTACAAAGCTCGGTTGGTTGCAAAAGGGTATAAGCAATCTTATGGGATTAACTTTGAAGACACTTTTTTGCACCAGTTGCAAAGCTTAACACAGCTAGAGTGCTCTTGTTGTTTGCAGTTAATCGAGATTGACCACTTTTTCAATTTGATGTAAAAAATGCTTTCTTGGATAAGAATCTTACAGAAGAAGTGTATATGGATCTTCCTTCAGGTATAGAGAAGTACTCAAATGTAACAAAGGTGTGCTAACTCAAGAAGGCATTGTATGGTTTAAAACAATCTCCAAGAGCTTGGTTCGGCAAATTCACCAAGTCTATGAAGAACTTCGGCTATAAACAAAGCAACTCAATTCACACTTTGTTTTTAAAGCACCGAATGGGTAGAATTACTGCTTTGATTATCTATGTTGATGATATGATGGTGATAGGTGATGATCAAGATGAAATTGAGAACTTATAATGGCACTTAGCCTCAGAGTTTGAAATGAAACAACTTAGTGACTTGAAGTACTGTCTTGGGATTCAGGTAGCCAAATCAAAAAATGGTATTTTCTTATCTCAACGAAAATATATTCTTGATTTGTTAACTGAAATAAGTATGCTTGGATGTAAGCCTTTGAATACTCTTTTTGAACAAAACCATAAGTTGTTTCATTGTTTGGATACAACTTCTACTGATAAGGCAAGGTACCAAAGACTTGTTGGAAAATTGATTTATTTGTCTCATACTAGGCCAAATATTACTTATTCAGTATGTGTAGTGAGCCAGTGTATGCATGATCCTTGTAAACCTCACATGGATGTCATGAAACGTATATTTAATTATTTGAAGTCTGCTCCAGGTAAAGAGTTACTTTTCACTAAGCATAATCATCTGAAGATAGAAGGTTATACTGATGCAGATTAGACTGGTTCAACTGATAACAGAAGATCTACTTCAGGATACTTTACTGTTGTAGGGGAAACCTTGTGACTCGGAGGAGTAAAAAGCAACTGGTAGTAGCAAGGTCAAGTTCTAAGAGATTTGAGGGTTGACTCTCAGGATGCAATGAAGTTTTATTGTGATAACACTTTAGCTATAGAAATTGCCCACAATTCAGTTCAACACAATCGGACGAAGCATGTGGAAATTGATAAACACTTCATTAAGGAGAAACTGGAAGTTGGGATCATTATATTTTCTTTTGTGAAGTCTAAAGACCAACTAGCCAATATTCTTACCAAAGCCGTAGTAAACAATGCATTTGATGATGCTTTAGACAAGTTAGGCATACGTGATATCCATACTCCAACTTGAGGGGTAGTGCTATAATATCCTATAATTAAGAGATTGATAGTGCCAATCTTCTTAATTATAGAATATTATTTCTTTCATAATTATAAGATATTTTCTGTAATTAATTCTTTTATTTTTTTCTTTGTAAATGTTTTTATATCTAGTCTATATATTGTTGAATTACAATGAATGAAAAAAATCAGAAAATTACTCCACAATTGTGTTTCTTGACACAAAAACTATTAAATCTTTTTCAAGACAGTTGCTGATGACAACCTAACTAGACACTCAACATATTTAACTGCAAGCATGTATATCTAGATACACATGAAAGCGTTAAAAATCTAACATCATGCAGAGCCATGTCTGCACACATGCTGGCAGATAGGATGCTTTCAAGGATGAGGCATCCTAGCAGCACCTCCTAACCTTTTAAAGACCAGACTCAAGACAGACGCAAAATAAGAAAATGAAAGCAACATACCTGAAAGCATGGCAGAAACTGAAAGAATTTCATTCGAGCAGTTGTATTCTTGGACTCTCAACAAGCATCTTTGACATCTGAGGATCTAATGGAAATTCACTCATCTTTCCCCAAGATCTGTCAAGTATCCCATCATCACAGTGCTCCCAAATTTAACACTTCTAATGCTCGCATCAGTGTCTCAGGAGCAGGGGTCCTAAAATCAAAATGTACCAGTGTCATCTATGCCCAGTTTCTTCAAGGTAAGCACTGTATTTGCTAGGTTTGATCGCAATATTTCTGGATAGGTCTGTGGCTGAAGATCATTATTGAAACTTTTCTCAGTGTAGAGGAAAACATTTACCCGGTTGAGTTCTTCCAGCACGCCCGATCGCTGATGTGCACTTGCTTTTGATATTGGAGATACCAATAAGACTCCACGCGCACTCGTGGATTATAAACCTTTTGTTTAGCAAACCCTGGATCAATCACATAAATATTCCATCATGGTCAAAGAAGTTTCTGCGATGTTTGTAGACTACAATCTTCCTTCCAGGAGGTCCCCCTTCTTTAAGTGGAGGTGGAGCAGGTTCAAATTTTCTGCTGCATAGCTGGAGGAAGAGTGGAATACAGAGGCACTGCTTTTACAGGGCCCACTTGGTCACCCAAATTAGCAACCTCCTTAGATATTTTGCGGCATGCATCTTCAATTTCCTCCTCTCCAGTTAGAAAAACAAGTATGTCCCCTGGAGTTCACACATGTGTATCGCACAACTGTTCGAATAGCTGCCTCCAGATAGTCCCTCCTCCGGTTCCTGAGTATAGAAAATTTCCACTGGATGAAGCCTACCAGGAACCTTCATGAGTGGTGCACTATTAAAATAACCCTGGAACTTTTCAGCCTCAAGATTTTGCACTCATGACAACTAGTTTCAGATCAGGCCTATTTTTCAACACTTCTTTCAAAAGACCAAATAGCACATCTGTGGCCAATGTCCTTTCATGAGCCTCATCAGAAATTACTTTGTATCGTTCCAAAACGATCAGTCATTGCCTCTCTTAAAGCATACCATCTGTTAGATACCTGCCAAGCAAAACAGCAAAAACTAAATAAAATTGCCACACCAGTAAAGTTCCCCTAAAAAATGAAAAGTAGAAGACAATTAAGTTAACAGCACCACAAATATAAAAGGACTTGTGTGTACAAAGAACTTACTTCAAAACTGTTCTTGCACTGCTGACTCTCAAAACGGATGCTATAACCAACCTCTTCTCCAATAGCTACTCCATTTCTTCTGCAACACGCCGGAAAACAGACATTGCAGCCACCTACGAGGCTGGGTGCACGCAACCATCATCTTCCTACGTCTATCAGGGGTTTCTATATCAAACAGCTTCCAATACAAACTGAGGAATCTGTAGCGAAAAACAATTCTAACTTAGCCACTCAAACAACTTCATTTAAATTATTTCAAATAGTTCAAATTCGCATGAAATAGCTTCCAACACTGCACTTTTGCAATTTTGTAAAGGTATCCCAAACTCTAAATATTTTTTGCTTCCTAAAGCTCTGGATAAATATGAGGTCTACAACATTTGCCAATGCATGAAATAACTAGTTAAAGGTATATATGTAACTCAAAAGTAAAGATGTTTATCCCCTATGCTGCTTCAATAGACGGTCTTTTCATTAAATATAGAAGTTACCATTGATACATCAAATAAATTAATAACTTATAAGTATCAAATCATAATCCAAAACATTAAACGAACATCAGTGAAAAAAGAAAGCATTAGCTAAAACATTATTTGTCGTTATTGTTCCGTGTCGTTTTGTGGAAAAAAATTCCAGACTAACCTGAGTAGTTTTCCCACTACCAGTCTCACCGACCAATATCAGAACTTGATTGGCTTTCAAGACCTGCAAAAATCCTCCTTCTGATGCCAGACGGGCAAAGTTGCACGCTTCTCCAGTATCTCGTAATACCTCTGCGAGTAAGGCTTCCCATTCCATCGATTAATCAAACTATTGTTATTGTTCATCGTGGCTCCGCACCGTTTGATTTGGCTACACTTCGCTGAGACCGATGCTCGTCTACCACATCAAACAAGCTCACCTCTCTTCCTCTCCGTTCCCATCCAAACCCTTATGACACCCAACTGCTTAGAACTCGAGTGAAGATATAATAAAAAAAAAAAAAATCCTAGAAAGGAGATTGTGAGGGAGGCGGGTTAAATTATGTAGCAGGAGCGGTTTAAAGAATGACGGAGAGGAATTTTCCAGATTTACTGATTTGTCCCCGTTTTTTATATTTATTATTCTGGGACTTCTCTTGAGTCTCAAGTCTCAACCGACAGCCTCACAATGTCATGGTTAATGGACATACTTGACAAGCCCAATTAAATTTCCTTATATGGGCCTATAAGGAAATTTTAATTGGCCCATTTATGCTTAGTGATCCAATTGTCAATATATTATGAGATCACGGTTTTTCACCTTTAAATTTTGGCAAGATCCCAGTATTGTTAACAAATGCTTAACTTAACACCATATTTTTAATAAATCAAGAGACGTTTTTCAATCTGATTGGTTCCACAGATTGTGACCATAATTGAACTGTAAATTGAGTAAAATAGTTAGCTTAGGTATTACCCAATTTGTTTGTAAGAGTAATTACAGCTCTATCAAAGAATTATAAGACTTGTGAAAGGTTTATGTTCCAGAGACAACACAAGCGTTTTAAATAAATAATATATTGTATGCATATAAAGACAAGTTTATGAGTGGGCCAAGTAGAATTAGCTAGCAGCAGGCCACCATGATCCTGTGTTGTGTACACTATTTGGTGATTGACATTCGGAATGGTGGTATTCAGGTTTTCGAAAATGGGAAAATCTTATGAAGTACTGCAAGTGAGGATGTGGGCAGCAGCTGGCATGTTTGATTTCAGACAACACTGGGATATACAATTATATGGGCACATGAAAAATTGCCATAAACCAGCTAATCTGTTGGTTGGGAGGTCCCAATAAATAGTATATACAAATTTTGTTGTTCATATGGGTAAGCTTATTAGGTATTCGAACAAATTCATGATCATTCAATCATATTTATATTTTTGTTAGGTCACTAAATCATTTCAGACAGTCACATGGCAAACCTGTGAATACATGAAGCTAGTATCTGTATATGACGTCTACAATATTCACTTACCATTTTTCTGACTTTCTTACGGCAAGTGATTGAGTTTTCAGGTCAACTTGCACCAAGGGTAGCTAATAAAGTCAATACAAGAATTGCTTCATTCTTCCACATTAGAAATAATACCATGAATCATGACAGTTTAGCTAATATTTCGAAAATCAGAAATGCTCTGATTAAAATGTTTAAACAATCACGAGTCTGCTAGTCTAGTTAATAAGTTTGCTGTTAGCAACTAAATAAAAATAAAGACATGTTATATTAGACAGACTCACATAATATTGAAATTGAACCATAGAAACACAAGTAAAAGATTTCTCAAATTTTGTAAGAATCTAATTCCCGGAGGAATCCATGAAATATTATTTGACCTTTTGTTGTATTTAAATTTTCTATCTTTTGTTTTATGATTTTTATTTCAATGTTATTATTTATAATTTAGTATTAATAACGAGTATTTGTAAATGTTGACATTTGTTCAATGACGAGAGTTGACATTGACTGGTCATTAAATTTAATACTTCTCTCCGTTTCAATAAAATGACTTTTAATCTCCTCTCCAATTTGACTTTTTTCTTTGATTTTGCAGCACACATAAGTGAATTATTTAAATAATTAAAAAAATTTTTATATTTTATCATTTTCTATCTCCTATTAAAAGAGAGGATATATTATATATAATATTATATATATAATAATTAAGATAGAGAGGAGAAGAGAGAGGAGAGAGAGAAGAGAGATGTGGGTCATGGAAAAAAGTGGAGATTGGAGATGTGGTTGAAAGACAAACACGTCATTTAATTTGAAAAAAAATTTATACCATCAAAACAGATTTATAAAAAACAAGAGAGTATTTTTTTGGTAGAATTCTATATTAAAACAAAAACAATGAATTTAAAATATAGTATTAATTCTTTATTAAATAATTAAATTAATCATAATTTTTAATTTAGTTGATGGCATTTTTATCACTTATCACATATTCATTTTATTCTCCCAATATTCAGTCTTATAAGTATAATGAAATAACAATTTTATACCCAATGAACGCTGCATGCTATAAGCTTCAAACGCTATTAGTTTCTACTTTCTACGAGGTAGAGTTACTGTACTTGCCCTTAATTTCGGGGAACCTCTATCATCTATCTAGAGAAAGTACGCCTGCTGGCCCCTGCCTCAACCTCATTTAATATGGCCGTTGAATATTGATTCCTCATTTTTGACGAGAAGTGCTTTAACTTTGAGCAAACCAAATTATATATCAATCATTTCTTAATCCTAATTACGATAAGCTGTTGATATAGAATATGACAAAAAAATCAGAAGTTGGTCTATTAAGCACTTTATTCAATCCAGAACAAAAATTTAGTAACATATACCATGCATTACTAGATCAACAACAACACACAAGAAATAGATAATAATTAAATTAATAAAAAAGGAGATTCAAAATATATTACAAGTTACAACTGGTAATCACTTATTAAAAAAGAAAATTATGTTTTTGTTTTTGCCTACTTATCTAAAAGAACCAAAGGGTACAAAGAAGACCATATATACTGTCATTAAGAATTTGATACAAGTCACGTTGCAACTTGGCTGCGGTGGTATTTTACAAGGCACGGTATGGACTTAGGGTTTTTTACTTGTGCAAGCTATCCCGTCATTGCCTGCCAGAATCTGGTACTTATCTCTCCTTGTAAGCTTGGTAGTTCAAAGCCTAATGCATGGGCGAGCTGACTTTGCACATGATTGGCCACACCGAATCTTGATTTTTCATCATTAACACACTTGGACAGTCCGGATACACAATCAAGCAACTGCACAGTGTAACTTGGAGATGGGTTCAAGAAAGAAAAGTGGATCAAGGCACTTGAGCCCACCTGCAGTTGTTCCATAAAACTTGTAACGTGACTGTTACAGCTACAGGAACTATGTTATCACTCATCTCTGCAAACAACGGGCTAAATCTTAAGAGATATGGTTCTCTACATGTGGTCCCTTCTGGGCAAACTACCAGTCCCCTTTTTTTAATAGCCTTTCCATCATTTTTGCATCTTGATCCCGGTTTCTTGTTAATCGACGTTTTTGATTGGTGCCAAGATCTCTGACATTCTGCTTAGACTGTGTGACTGCTGTAAGTTTTTCTTTAATGTAAAAGAAAGATATAAAGGGTCTAGTAATGTTCTATGTTACAAACATAAAGGAGATGCTTTGAGTTGGGTTGGGCGATGAGTGGGAACTATTTGGTTGATCTACGGAAAGGAATAACCCTGAAAAGATTAATATGGGGATGGAAATATTGAAGGGAAGAGTTAAGGCAACAACAGCCCTGAAGATAGCAAGAATGAAACCAAATGGAATCCACATGAACAGGCACCGTAGCCAACACGGTTGGACTAAAAGCCAGTCTACCATCATGGAAATGAGCGGTTTTGGGTATTTATCTCTTTGGTAGCTGTTGCCAGCTCCTCTTGTCAGTTCTTCTCACCGTATAATCTCCTGTTACAATACGAAACAAAAGCATAGAAAGTGGATTCTTAAAAGTGCAGTTTTACTCAGTATTTTAGTTGATATCAAAACGGAATCTTGATTATTTTTTTGTAAAAGTAAATTTTCAATCTATATAAGATAAGGCAATGTTGACTTAAACTAAATGTCAGACGAAAGTACGAAAACATCTTCTACTGTTTTTTAGTACTCTTTGTACTTTTCATTTTGATGAAGAACATGAAGTGGATTAATTTCCAAAAAGATATATAGATAAAAAACTCACCTTACACTGAAGGAACAACTTATGTCCATCAAGGGACTTGTTGAAGCGAGTAATGCCGATAACACACTATTGTTCTCCTGTAAAACAAGCTTTTCTTTCTTTCTCTCTTCCATGAGTCCAACAAAGTACCCACAGAAAACCTTTAGCCTCGTCCAACTACAACATCTATCTCCAAATAATCTCTCAAGAAACTATCAATCATTACTTTAGGTATATTACTTACGCGCGACCTTTTTGCTCCTCTTTTCACCACCTCATAGATTTCCAACCCAACATTCTCCAAGAAAAACTTTGGCAGAACAGCTGTTCCACCTCTGAAGTTGTCTTGTTTAATCGCAAAGAAGCAGATCATGACCATTATTTTCAAGCCCATCTCTTCACCAGCTAAACAATAAATGATATGAAACGAGTAGAATAAAGCCCTGAAAAGACCTCCAGCTTCAAAAGCCAAGCATAAATAGGGAACAATATGAGGATTTCAATAAAGCTCCTTCAACATCGAAGATCAAATTTGGTTTGAAAGGTCTGATCTGTGAGCAGAGAATTGTACCTTTGAAATTTGCTATGTTGTTGCTGACAGCTCTGTGGAGCTTTTTGAGTTCCTAAAATGTTTGAAGAGAATTCGATAGAAAAAAGAAGAGGGTTTCGAAAAAAAAACTTCAAAGACATATTTGCGCCTTCGCCTTGTTCTCAGTACGAGTTTTAGCAGACAGAACTTTTGCGCTTTTATACATGATCGATTCAAGAATGCCCTCACATTTCATAATTATTACAAGCATGCCTAGTCTCTAACTCTTTTATCCCTTATTCAGTGCCAGGTTGGTACGAACTCCATGTGATTTCAACTTTTTTGGACGCTCACACGGTTCCAAATGATTAAGAACACGTTTACTAATTCACCTTTTTCAACATGAAATGAATGCTAAAGTTTGACTTTGTCAAATGACGTGAACCAATTAGTGTTAATGACATTGAAGGTGTTGTAGTTCTCCCACGATTACATCCAACTTGTGGACATGCATATGGGCAACATTTTGGCTCACCGGCGATGCCTCTACCTGTTTATACAAGGATTATTCAGCATTACCCACCCCATTAATGGAACCGATTACTACTTGACATATAATCTAGTTCATAATCTCTGCCCAACGCCCCTTATCTACTAAGAAAAAGGTATTTTCTAAAACTTGTGTAATATTAACGGCTTTAATATATAATAAAAT